TATATTGTCTCCTTGCTTATTTAACTTATATGCAGAATACATCATGCGAAAGGCAGGACTGGATGAATCCCAAGCCAGAATTAAGATTGCCGGAAGAAATCCCAACAACCTCCGATATGCAGATGATACCACTCTGATGGCAGAAAATGAGGACTAATTAAAGAACCTTTTAATGAGGGTGAAAGAGGAGAGCTGAAAAATAGTCTGAAGCTCCACATTAAAAAAACTAAGATCATGACCACTGGTCCCATCACCTCCTGGCAAATAGAAGGGGATGATATGGAGGCAGTGACACATTTTACTTTCCTGGGCTGCATGATCACTGCAGATGCTGACAGCAGCCACAAAAGGAAAAGACACCTTCTTCTTGGGAGGAAAGCGATGATAGACCTAGACAACATCTTAAAAAGCAAAGACATCACCTTGTCGACAAAGGTCCGCATAATGAAAGTTATGGTTTTTCCAGTAGCAATGTATGGAAGTGAGAACTGGACCATAAAGAAGGCTGACCGCTGAAGAATTGATACTTTTGAATTTTGGTGCTAGAGGAGACTCTTGAGAGTAACCTGGACTGCAAAGAGATCAAACCTATCCATTCTGAAGGAAATCAACCCTGAGTGCTCACTGGAAGGACAGATCTTGAAGCTGAGGCTCCAATACTTTGGCCATCTCATGAGAAGAGAAGACTCCCTAGAAAAGACCCTGATGTTGGTAAAGTGTGAAGACAACAACAGAGGACGAGATGGTTGGAAAGTGTCACCGAAGCTACCAACATGAATTTGACCCAACTCGGGGAGGCAGTGGAAGACAGGAGGACTTGGCATGCTCTGGTCCATGGGGTCACGAAGAGTCGGACATGACTTAACGGCTAAACAACAACAAAAGGAGCTACAAGACATTCTTTCTTGCATTTCAAACCTACATTTTGTTATCATGCAAGCCTTAGTTAAGGCACTGCAGGAAATGCAAAAGCACGGTTTTCATACCTCTGGATTAATTACCATTTTGATTGCCTTTTATTATTCCTTGGTATAGGATATATGAAAGGATTAATGAAATTCTGAGCAGTGAGCACAGTCATATCATTTCATTTCACTGCATGTGTAGGACATATCTGACCTACTTTTGTTTCATTCACTGGCTTAAAGCATGTAAAAAAAAAGCAAAGCGTGCTGCTTATATACTGTGCCATAGTGCTTCAAGCACTCTCTGGGCGGTTTACAAGTTAATTATGCAGGCTACACCTTGCCCGACCCCCCCCCCCCGTGAGCTAGGTAATGATTTTATCGACCTCGGAAGGATAGAAGGCTGAGTCAACCTTGAGCCGGCTCCCTGGGATTGAACCCCAGGGCGTGAGCCCCGTTTTGGCTGCAAAGTACAGCAGTTTAACCACTGCGCCACGAGGCTCTTCTATACATGTTTTTTTTTAAGCATTTTATTTCACAGTTTCTTATGTGTGCTCTAATAGTCAGCATAGAAATCCAAACCAATTCAATTTCCTACTCCAAACTAAATGTTTATATAAAAGTATACAGGAAAGTCTCCCACAAGAAAGTACTTAGTACCTCAAGCTCAGTTTCTCTCCGATTAATTTCATCTGTGGACTGATTCAGCTTTTCTAGCTCCCCCTGGAAGAAAGCCATGAGAAAAAAAAAGACAAGAACATGTTAAGAAATAAGACACTGAGTGAACTGGGAAGGAATCAGGTTATTAAGTGTCATCTGGCATTTCACACAGGGGCCCCAGCTGGAATGTTAAATGAAAACAGAAGGGTGGAAGGCATTTAAAAGAAAGGCTGAGGTTTGCTAAGACCTCTGTGGCCAGGATGGAGCAAGAGACAGACTTTGGAAACCTTTTAAACTTACATTTGAAATATAATCTAGATTAATTTTCACATTTTTCATACTCATGACTGGTCATGCCGTGTGTACGTTTAGGGTAGATCCTGATCCTCTGCCACCATGACTAATAATGGCCTAGTAAACCTTTTCTCCATTGCAGGGAGACCAGAGCTGAAAATTCACCAGATCCCCTTTCACAACATTCATTTAAAATTCTTATTTCTATTACATTTTCTCATCTGCTTTTTAAGAGCTGTTATATTAAACCAGTAAACAGTATTTTGTTACATTTTTATTCCAGTCCTTGTCCAAACTCAAGGCTCCCTTCCTCACTCAGACCACAACCTCATTTTTATTCTTACAACAACTCTATGAAGTAAGTTAGCCTGAAAAATGTTCACTGGCCTAAGATCATGCTGCAAATGTCATGTCTGAGCAAAGGTTTGAACCTGTCTCTTCCAATTCTGTAACCACTATTATACAGTATTCATGTGGGAATTTTTAGGATTCTGTGGTAAGGAAATTGTAGGAAGAAGAAAATGCAGCTTTGGGACATTGTATTTTATACCATATGCATGTTTCATATTCTTAATGCCAGTAACATACTATCAGGATTCCAGTCTCCATTCTCCAGATGGCTGGTCTCGATTTAACCAAGTTCGTGGACAAGAAAATATTTGAGCTTGTCACTCTCCAAATCACAGATCAGCTTTAACACGTGATTAAATACACTCCTGAATCTCTTGCTTGTTGCTTGTGTATACATGTGCAAAAGGCATAAAGCCCATTTAAATGCTCTTCCATTGAGTTTTTAGATAATTTAATAACCATGCAGGGTGGCAGATGTAAAACTGCATTTAAAATTGCATTTTTTATCTCACCTCTGATCTAATCACCACCTTCCCCAGACCACTGATCTGAACAAAATTAGAAACGGTCTTTTCTTTTCTTCCTGTATAGAAGTGCCCTTCCAGTCTGTATTAATAAGTGTCCTCAATTCTTTTTCCTTCCCCTGACCATGTTCACCTGCAGAACTATCACTTCTTTAGCCACCTCCTCTCACAAGGTCAGAGAAATCCTCATCAATTTCATTGGCATATGTGTTTCTTTTAATTCAGGGCATGTATGTAACCAAAAGTGGCAAACACTAAGTTAAATCCAAATGTTAAGCAGGACTAGATGAGACCTTTTGAATCAAGTGGACTAACATAAGCACTGACTCAGTAAGTCCCATTTATTCAATGGGTCTCCTGTAGTTGGGATTAACAAATAGATTTAACTTTCTACCTTTTATTATCGAGGCAAAATCCGGAGCTGGAGTCCCGAAGGCAGCATGTGTCGTTCTGCCAACTCCTGCGACATTGCTGGAACCAGTTGTATTGGCTCTTGCCTTTCCATTGGACCATTTCAGCAATGTGGAGAGGGGGGATCTGCTGCTTGGGTAACAGCCTATCCTCCATATTACCTTACCCGGGCTTCATGCTCTGGAGAGGACACTCCTCCATTCAGAGCATGTTACCATAGTCTCTCGAGACTGAAGGATGCCTATGCCAATTGTTGCCAGTCAATGGGCAACTCTTCCTCTTACCACCAAATGATCTCAAGCCTTTAAAAAAATTGACATGAAATTGGCAAATTAATTTTATTCATAATGTTTATGTAAGTTGTTTTTTTCCAACCAAAGATCTGGCAGAATAAGACCAACTCATTAAAACTCAAAGGTATAAGAAATTACCACATGACACACAGAGCAACAAACATTCTGAACAAAACCCAACTCAGCAATCCACAAACTGGGTACTACTACTGAAAAGGCCTGTCTTCACAATCACCATCTGCTACACTTCTGATGGCAAGAGAATCCAAACAAAGCTTCAGGTAGCGACCTCAGCAAACTCATGCAGAGGGAGATTAACACACCATAGCAGGCTGACACCAACATCTATCTTTATCAGGAGTGGGAAACAGTGGTCCTCAAAATACAGAGAGAGACAGAATTCCTCCCCGTTAATTATGCTGATTAAGGCTCCAGGGAGTTGTAGGCAAAAAATAAAATAAAAAATCTGAAGGGCCATCTCTTTTATATGATAGGAATGCTTCCTGGTCTCATCATTGAGCATCTTTGGTCAACATTTGAGAGAAAACACAAGGAAAAGATAATTCTCTTGTACTAGCAGTTGGGGTGTGGCAGCATTTACAGACAGACATCTGTGAAACAGTGATGCACTAATGCCCACTAACTGATACTAAGCAGAATCCCACATCAAGCAGTCAGGCTGGTCTAAATGATCTCCAGGATTCCTTCTGACACCAACCATTTTATTATTTGAGGATTGCACAAAGATCATTGGACTACTTGAGTGTGTACTCGGGGCCTTAACTACTGTTCCCATAGCAATTAAAGGTGTCCACACTGGGTCACAGAACTAAGTGTGTCCCTGTCTGCTTCCTCTACCTATACCATCACTCCACCTTCAAATGTTCTTGCAGCTGGTGTGTGTCAGTCATTCAGTCTTTCTTCTAACTACCCTCGCTCCCTGTGGCACCTAACAACGAAATCGGGTGCATTCAGAATCCACACAACAACTAAAAACAGAGCCTGCTAAATCCATGTATTAATTCCGTCTAGAGGAGCCCCACTGAAGCAAAAGGACATTGAAACCACATTCATTCCATGGATCAAGTCTCGTGAGAACTAACCACCGGTTGTAGCAGACGCAAAACGGGGGGGGGGGGATTGGAGAAGGCCCTCCCCACCCATTCCGATATTGCCTTTTTGGAAAAGGGAAGGGGTCGGGAGAGCATCCTTTGGTTTACTGCAAGGTAGCTTGGGAAAAACGTTAGCAGAAATCTAATGCAAATCTAATATGAGCGAGAGGGGAGGGAGGGAAAGACCGCGGCGGGAAACGCCCCCCTCCCCTACTAAGAGGATCACACGCGGTTGCAGAAAGAAAAAGCAGCATCTGCAGGGCATTTACAAGGGGAGAGGGGCCTCCCTTCCACGACACTTTCCAACGGAGGACACCTAGCGCTGCAGTCTTCTTCACCTCAGCTTCCACCACCGCCACGAGTCCCGCAACCCCTTTGCAGGACCTGCTGCAAGCGGGCGCCCCAGCCTCGGCTCTCTGGAGGGTGGACACTGAGGGCGGGGTGGCTAAGGCAGATCCCGGCAGGAGGCCAGGCACAGCCCGGTCAGCATTTCCACCACATTCCTCCGCCCTTCCATTCCCCCTACCTGGATCCTAGGGTCTACTTCTTCCTCTTCTTCCTCTTGCTGTTGGGGCGCCGGCGGCTGGATATCCGCCTCCTCCGCCTTATTCCTCCTTACGCCCGGATCCATGTTGGCTACGTGAGGGCTTGCGGACTGGGAGAACGGAGAGGGGGGAGAGAGATCTTGCCCTGAATCTGTTCCCCTTTAAGCTTAGCGCGACGCTGATCCGGCTCCTGCCTCACGGTGGGATCTTCCGGATCTACGGCGGGAAAAAAAAAACGTTTGCGCTGCTGCCCTAGGCGGCCCCCTCTCTGCCTTTCCGTTCCTCGCCGCGAGGTTGTGCCGAGGGACCAAACCCTTTCTCGGCGAGAGGAAAAGAGGGAAGGAAGGACGCCTCGCCCCCTTGCTGCTGTTGTTTGTAGCGGCGGCGGCTGTCACGGCACAGTTGCCTCTTCTCCTTTCTGCCACCCAGGCGAGTCCCACCCTCTCACCGCCTCCTTTCCAGAGCGCCAAATCAGAGCAAAGCGACCCGGCCTTTCAAATACATATACTGTACTGTATATAACTCTGCATTTAAAATACCCCCTACTCCTCTTCACCGACGCATTCATCCCCTCAGTCCCAGGGCCCTTTATGTCGGCTTCTGTGGCCGCGCTCTGCGCCTCAGTGAGTCTTCGGGCGCCTGTCGCCACAGAACATGGGCAGCGGGGGAGGGAAGCAGTCCTGTGTGCGTGTCTTCATAATTACATACCCGACTTGCCTTTCCCTCCAGTGAACTGAAGGCGGCTTACAGGGCTGCCCTCCTCACTTCGTCCCCATAAGAACCGTGAGGTCGTCGAGCAGACAGAATTGCGCTGAGGCCCCCCGGGATGTCTACTGTGCCATGAGAAAAGGCTGTGTGGGTGCCTTGAAAGGCATTCAATTTCCCCTGACCCCGCACCATTGTCAGGGATCGGAATGTTAAGAGTCGTGGCTCAGTCTCTCTAGACAGCCACTGAGCTGAGGGAGGCTGAGTCCAACTTGAGGTCTATGAATCAGAGTTGTGAGGCAATTTTGATGCTTGGGCTTTGCTGCTCTATTGGCCTAAGCATGGGTCACATGAGATTGGCATGAATTTGGGAGAGGGGAGAGGAACGCCTGGATCTGCATGTGCAAAGGCCATATGAATTTTATCCTGAGCTCACTCGTCTTTCCTTCTACCTGAGGATGTATGTGTGTAGGCAGTACACATGCTCAGGTTAGACAGAATCATTCATGGCTGTTAAGCAACAAATAACAATGGTGGTTTGGTGCCCTGCACATATTGGTGCCCTGGGTTAAAGAACCAATCATCCTTCCATAATTGCAGTTACAAAGCCAGTATATGCACATGTATCTGTGCAAAGTGAAATGTAAAGCGTGTATCACCTGCCAACTGAGAATTTTATTGTTGTTTAGCCGTTAAGTCGTGTCTGACTCTTCGTGATCCAATGGACCAAAGCACGCCAGGCCCTCCTGTCTTCCACTGCCTCCCCGAGTTGGGTCAAATTCATGTTGGTAGCTTCGGTGACATTGCCCAACCATCTCGTCCTCTGTCGTCCCCTTCTCTTGCCTTCACACTTTCCCCAGCATCAGGGTCTTTTCCAGGGAGTTTTCTCTTCTCATGAGATGGCCAAAGTATTGGAGTCTCAGCTTCAGGATCTGTCCTTCCAGTGAGCAGTGAGGGTTGGTTTCCTTCAGAGTTAATAGGTTTGTTCTCCTTGCAGTCCAGGGGACTCTCAAGAGTCTCCTTCAGCACCACAATTCAAAAGCATCAATTCTTCGGTGGTCAGACTTCTTTCTGGTCCAGCTCTCTCTTCCCTACATCGCTACTGGAAAAACCGTAGTTTTGATGATGCGGACCTTTGTCGGCAAGGTGATGTCTCTGCTTTTTAAGATGCTGTCTAAGTTTGTCATTGCTTTCCTTCCAAGAAGCAGATGTCTTTTAATGTTGTGGCTGCTGTGACCATCTGCAGTGATCATGGAGCCCAAGAAAGTAAAATCCGTCACTGCCTCCATATCTTCCCCTTCTATTTCCAGGGGATGATGTGACCAGTGGCCATGATCTTCGTTTTTTTGATGTTGAGCTTCAGATGATTTTTGGCGCCCTCCTCTTTCACCCTCATTAAGAGATTCTTTAATTCCTCCTCATTTTCTGCCATCAGAGTGGCATCATCTGCATATCTGAGGTTGTTGACATTTCTTCTACCTGAGAATAGGTGGTGGTATATCTAATGAAACATACAAACCTTATGCAGGTTAAAAGGGTGGCTTTCGTCATACCCAGGGCTCTTTATTATTTTGTTACAATAAAGTAGTAATAAATGAATATAACTGTCTTCTTAGAAACCGTATTCAAGATATTTATGGCCTACTGCCTTAATTACTTTCAGAAGTGAACTACATTGAGTCTGAGGGAACTCACTCTCACATAAGCATGCACAGGATTGCTGCCTCTTGAGTCATCTCCTTACATACAGTATCAAACTGAAAGTATGGGAGACAAGCATCTACATATCCTTTAATGTCAGCCTATTATTAGTGTTTTACCCAACCACAAATTTCACTTACTTAGATACTGAAATGATCCCCTACCTTTCAAATTATAGAGTACAAAGTCCAATCTGAGTTACCTTAGCTGACTAAATTATACAGGATGGAGAGCAGGGAATAACATTATGTTTTCATAGATCAGTGACAGCAGCTCATCAGATGCTTTTTGAAAAAATTGCCAGATACAGTCACCAGATCTTGAACTGGCCCTCATCATTGTCCCTTTAAAATCAATTTAAGACTGCAGCAATTATCTCATTACATTAATGACCACTTCTGCTCCATGCCCTGTCTGAACTTTTCTTCTCCTGATTTCAACCTGAAAGACCTCCTGAAAATTTCCCTTACCGATTGTGACCTATCACACCTCTACAGTGGTACCATTGGCCTGAGCTCACAGTGGTGGAGTTCTGGGACTTTTTAGCAAGGATGATAACATCATTTTTACACACATCTCCGTTGGCTTCCCTGTTCTCTCCAAACTGAGCTGTAATCTGCATAGTAATATTACTGCCCAGGGTGGGGGTGGTGAACTAACTTTTCCAGCATTTTTTTTAAATCTGTCCATCCATGTTATTAAGAAAAGTAGCCTGGGGCAACTGTAGTCTTTCAGCCATTTTGTGACGACACCTCCCATGATCTCATACCATTGACTATGCTGTCTGAGAATAGTATGGAAGGGCTGTCAATGCCCACACTGAAGCTAAATGTATACACACACACACACACACACACACAGAGATACACACACAGATACACACACACACACACACACACACACACACACACACACACCTCTTCTTGGTTGCAGGGATTGTCATGACAAGGGTGAGCATATGCTCAAAACTGACCACAGATCTTAAATTAACAGAACAAGAATAGACCAAACTACTCTTTTTCTCATATACATGCTGGCAATGTTATTGCTACTGTAGTTTGTGGGTATATATTTGTTTCTCTCAAATTTTAGGTTAAAGATACTAACAGTTCTCCCTTTGAAAGCATCAGTTGTATGTGCAAGAATAACTAAAACCTTTCTACATTCTTCATTGCTTGAAGGAAACTACATCTAGCTGTATAGCACTGGGGTTGAAGAGAATTATAATTTGTTGGGAGTTGAAACTATAGATTCTAGATAATACAATCCAATTTAACCTATAGATTTTTTTCTGCCTAATGCAACATCATACTTGATCTCTAGAATTAAGATGAAATCTTCCTAGCTGATACCCGATCTTCACCTATCAAGGAGCCATATGCTTCAAACAGGATAAAACTGGGCCACTGTTCACTTTATTTTTTGCTGTAATAAAACTTAAATTTTAGAGTATCTATTTTAATTGCATTTTAATTGTTTTATCTTTTTTATTGTATTTTAATTGTTGTAAGCCGCCCAGAGACCTTTGGGTAGAGTGGGAGGCATATAAGTTAAATAAATAAATAAATAATTCTCAGAAAATTCTCAGTTCTTTGTTCTCAGTCAGAAGAGTGACTGTTTCCTGTTGCAGTTCAATACCAGCAGTGAGTCTCCTGAGATATATATTTGAATATATCTGCCATTCGTCCCTTCTTCCATCTCAACTGCAACTGAAGAGAGACAGAAAGATTGTAGGATCTATTTGGGGGGGGTGGTTGTTTTGTTTTTTTGCCTCAAACCATTTCTTATCCCCTCACATTTTGTAACAACAGCAGGAAGATAAGTGCCTTCACTGTGCTCTCTATTCACTGACATACTACATTGCCATGGTTCTGGCTCCATTTCCACAGCATGGCTAATGTCTTGGCCTAAGGACCAGGCACAATGCACAGGGCCAGCTGAGAAGCAGCCATGCTGTGAAAATAGGGAGCTGGTACCAGTGACAGAGGTTAAAAAGAGGCACGTGGATAGATACCGCAGTGGTGCAGAGTGGGAAGTAGTGTCAGTGTTTCAGTACCTGAGGTAAGTGCCTCACCCTGGCTAATAGCCGGGGGGAAAAATAAAACATAAGGAGCTCTGATCTGAAAGGCTTCCATCCCCCTCATCACAACATTCCACAGCCATTCATGTGTTTCTTAAAGATAACAAAGTGGAGATAAAAATCTTTCCCTTATTTCCTTTTCTTTAAAGGTTAATTGTGTGATTAGAAGCCCTAGACCAAAGGTCCCCAACCCCTGGTTTGCGGCCCGGTGCCGGTCCATGGCCTGAGCCAGACTGGGCTGTGGAGAGAGACCTCCCTCTGCACACACTCCCCCCCAGCTCATCTGCGGCTGTGCACGAGCGCTGTGCTGCCCTTTGCGCATGCACACAAGCGTGCCCACGCAAGTGCTGTGCCGCCTTTGCACATGCGCACAAGCATGAGAGAGAGCACGTGCTCCTTCATGTGTGCGCACGAACGCAGGGGGGCGCCCCATCTCCCCCAGCTGGTTTGCGGGGCTAAAAATGTTGGGGACCACTGCTCTAGATAACTGGGAGAAATTCTAATCTTACACAAACATATGTCATAAACATATACTTTACCCTTTAATCCAGGAGTGAGCAGCTTCCCAAGGTGCTAGAAGCACACTAGTCCCCATCTCACTAAGGGCCAGATCTTGTCATTGCCACTGTCATATTCCCTCTGATTTTAGTGGTGGGGATTGTTAACAGCAAAAAAGCCACAATATGTTTTGTAAATGAGAAGCACAGAGATGTGGTACAGTACCTTGTTTCAGAAGCACAATCATGCTCCTGAGAAGGTCTCAGGCAAGAAAGTCTGCTTTAAAAGACGGCATGTTTTCAAAGCCACATTTTACTCCCCCCCCCCCCTTTACTGCTGAAATTTGACAACATTGCAGAAATTTGGCTACAGAAGCTAAAAAAAAAACAAACAAAAAAAAAACCAGATGGGGAATACATAAAACAAGGGCTGTGTATTGCCCACTTCTACCTGAACCATTCTAACAATAAATTCAAGTG